TATTACTGTTTTGTTTTATTTATATTATTAAACTTTTTATTTCAACTCGTGAGTTTTCCTACTTGTGCCCTCCCGATTCTCTCCCCCATCCCACCGGAGGGGTGGGGGTGAGCGAACGGCTGTGTGGGGTTTAATTGCTGGCTGGGGTTAAACCACATCATCTGAGTTGATGCATTAATTAAATGAGTTTCTTCTTTAGTAAATCATTTGTGTGGTCTGTAAATACTATGACCTAAGTATCTGTCAACATAAGGGAAATAAGTCATTTTTATGTAATTTTTGTACTTAACTACTTTTCAGTGATGTCTTCCAATAGCACTTTAAGCAGTGTGACTGCCATCAGTCACAGGTTGTCGCTTCTCTCATCCTGTGCTGAAGCACAATAGAAAAGGTAATAGAATGTTTTGCTTTGTTAGCTGCTCTGTTTTTTTTTAATACAGATTTGTGGGGAGGATTTTCACATAATGTGAGAAATCAAAATATTTTTCTGCACTTCAAAAAGACTGAGTATTGTTAAGGTTCTTGGGACGATCTTGTGTGTTCTCAGATTGTCCCTAAAAATATTCTGTCTCCTGCACAGATGAGGTTTTTTCCCTGTAAGTAGAGCACACCAAGAGCAATTACTGTATCTCTCCCCCCAACTACTCAACATAAATCTATAAAGCAATATACAAATTATTTCCTTGTTCTACAAACATCAGAATTAAGACAGTAAAGATTTAATTGGCTGAATTTTATGAGCTGACTTTTATGAGAACAAGAAGACTTCCGTGTCCTATGTTATGCAAACCCATGACTTTTTATTCCATGGACAAGTCAGAGGCATTGAAATAATTTAACAACTTTCTTCCTTCTCTCCATTTTGTCTCCAAAGCCATTCTGTTCTTGGTTTTGCGCTTTTTTTTTTTTTTTTTTTTAAAAACAATCACTATCTTTGCTCACCCTGCCTAGTACTTTTCCATGGAACTATATCACTTCCAACTTTCATATTAATTACAAAGTTTTAAACGTTCACTGGCTTGTAAGATTTTCAAATATAGATTAGAAACCATTAGAAATGTTTTTTTAATGGTTCTAATCACCATTAGAAATACATCATTAGAATCTACTACGGTCATGCTTTTATAACTGCAGGTGGCTGATAAGTAGTCTATTTGTAAATAGTTTTCTGGAAGAATAGAAGGTTGCTTTCTGCAGTATACATGCAGTTAGTTAATTAATTAATTGTTATTACAGTAGTACTTAAAGGTCTTAACCACAACAGTACGATATCTGCGGTTATCCAAGAGCAGTGTTGAGTTTTTCATTTGGCTTGCTTTGCATTTGATAGCCCCAGTGTCAGCATTTCTCTGTCTGATGTCCCCTACCCCCAACATTTCTCTACTGCAAGATGCTGTTAGTATGGTACAATACTATCTAGTTACTTCATTGGCGCATGTGGTTTCTGTAGAAAATAGTAACTTAGAGGAGCCTGATGCAATCATTAAAGTAAATTGTTCATCCTGCAGTTGTCATCTGTCTCACTCAGTGCAGAGGATTATTGTCCCTAGCACTAGCTGCAGAAAACAAACAAGAGGCATGGAAATGATTCACTGGCTCTGGCCACTATTCGGTGCTGAACATTTCCCAAAAAAGCTTTCAGATTAAACAAACATGGCCACGCTACTCAGCACAGTTTTAATTTGCTGTCTGAAGTCTTTGCTGTACAGTACATCCCTCGCCATATGGAGAGCACACAAGATAAGGAGATCACCCAGAAGTGTAACTGAAATGGAAATAAAAAAGCGTTAGCGGGGAAGTGGACTCGGGGCACTGCTGTTGGACTAAGTAACTATTGACCTTCAGGTGCTGATGTGAATAGAGAGCGGGCACATTGTTTGCTGAAACCTGCTCCCATCATGAAACGGCCGTCAGTGCTAACTGCACCCTTCGAAGGCAGTCCAAAGAGCGAGCAGACACCAGTCCAAAGCACCATTCTCCTGTGGTGCCTCACCCCGATCAAAGATCACACCCCTTTATAGCGCACTTCACGGAGGCTATACCAGTCCTATTTATGCTGTACCTTGACCTGATGACCCAAGGATTTAGGTTTAATTAGTTTTTACTTTTAGCTAACCTTGTTACCTGTATGTTCTGGCCAGAGCTGTTAGTGGGGATGTAGTGTCCTTCTGCAGGGCTCACGAGGGACGTGCAGTTCCTCTAAGGGCCCCTCATACAGCACGCAGAGCCCGCGGCCTGTGACAAATGACGAGTTACGAGTGTAACCCCGCCTCGCAGCCGTTGCCCACCGCGCCCCGCTGCCCCCGGGCGCCCGCACC